TCTGGCTTGTGGCTTTGTTTACCTCGGTGAGAAGGCGGAAGTAGACGGCTGACAAGTGGAGAAGCTTCTGTGACATCGCGGTTGTGCAAATTTGGGCTGAAACACTAGGTTTTCTGCAACTAGGGACTAGCCCACCTGCAATTCATACCTCAGCCTGTGAAATGCTTCCCCTTGGTCTTTGCTGGTGACTCCCAAATCTGAGGGATCATCATGGCCAGTGGGATCTTTCTAAAAAGTACTTCTTCGGACTGCCTGCCCCTCGCTGAGTCAGTTCCTGAGAGTGAGGGCCAGAAATCTGTATTTTTCAAAAGGCCTCCAAGTGGCTAATGACCAGCTTGTTTTGGGAGCCACTGGTCCACACGGCGCTACTTCCCTTCACTCTGTGGGGACACTCCTCTCCTTAACCCCTGAAGGGCTCAGCTTGTCTCCTCTAGCACAAGATGGCGTGCAGAGAGCAGAGACCGTGGCCATCCCGCCCTGCCACTTCCTGACCCCCACAGCTTAGTCTCACAGCCTGGCCTCTTGGAGCCTTGAGGCTCATCCTTAGGGAGACATGCCCAGCCTGCAGGAGGGATGCACGCGAGGGTCATGTGAGCAGATGCATGTAATACCTGGAAAAGGCCTGGAGCATAGTTGGTGCTCAAACATGGATTAAGACAGATGGGCATTGGCAGGGTCTTTGTCTTTACCTGGGTGCAATGTCCTCATCACGGAAAGAGGGTCTAGATCCCTCCCTGCAGCTTGTGTGTGTGGGACCAAAGAACAGCTTGTGCATTTTATAAAACTTACGATGCTGAGACTTCAGAGTGAATGTTCTCAGGTAGTTTGGGGTATGTGACCAGAAGAGCCTCAGTTGCCGTTGAAATTTGGGGGTTGTCTTGGTTTAGTTAATCAGGGAAGTGTCTAATTAGGTAGCTGAGGGAGGGAGAAGCATGGTTTGCTTGAATGTGATTAGATAGAACATTCTGATATCAAAGGAAATGCCAGAGGCTTTTTTTTTTTTTAATTTATAATTCTTTCGTGATTTGGCAGGTAATTATGATAATTCCTGGGATTTTCACAGACTTAAAAGCTTTTTCACAGCCACATTATTTTTGGAAATCGTCTTCTCTGATGCTCCAGCTGGAATGGATTGCTCAGTCTCCTGAACTTCCAAAGCTTTCGTCTTCCAAAGCCCAACTCAAATGTCACCTTCCTGATGACGCTTTCCCCCATCCCTTATGCCAGGGATGCCACGTCGGTGTCATCCATAGGCCAAGTCTCTGATCGGTTGGGTGTGGCTGCCTGAGTGTTTCCTTCAGGAAGGAGTGCAGCCAGCGACTAGTCGTGTCTGCCGGGGGGCCAGAGGTGGGAGAGCCGATAAATTTTACTGATCTCGTGTGGCTGAGCATTTAGGTAGGTTCCAGCCCTTTGGAGCTAAACTGGTGTTTGGGGCACAGGTGCAAGTAGAGGGGCTGGGTAGCTCCCCAACAGAGATTTGCCAAGTCACAGGTGAGTGATTTTAAAAGTTTGATAGATGTTGCTAAACAGCCTCTGACTTAGAGTCAAGAAGTCTACTGTCTTCTCTCCACTGTAAAGGCCAAAACCCAAAACGTGACTGAGAAGTGACTGCACTTTATTAATTCATGAGTTGTGCACTTTGAGAGGCTGCCTCTCCAAATGGCCCTGGGCATTATGTGTGGGGGTGAGGGGGAGGCTGCCCAGCTTGTGCCAAGGCTGAGGGGAGAAGTGAGGGACTCCTGAATGTTCTCTCTGGGGGAGGCCTTCCCTTATGCCCCATCCTCTTTCCCAGTCCTCCTCTCTCGGTGAGCTCTAAGTTTGTCTGATCTCTAGGGTGTGAACCCCATGACCTTCCTGGGCTCCCCCGCCCCGCCAGAACCAGGCCTGGCACATGGTTAGCAATTCTGTTGGTGACATTTCCTTACTGGGGAACAATGAGTCTCTCTCCACAGCTGAGTTCCTTGGTATAGCACATGTGGCCCCTTTCCATCTGGCTTCTGCAGATAGCCCTGTCCTCCAGTTCCCTTTGATGTGATCACCCACCCTGTACAACCAGCTCTCCTCCACTGAGCACTTGCCACGCACAGACACAGTGCAGAGCTGGTTAAGTGCGGCAGCTCATTCCGGCCGCACAGTGGCCCCATGCAGTAGGTAGGGTTTTGAATTGCTGTTTTGTAGGTGAATGGCTTTAGGATCCTCAAGATTAAGAGCCTGGCACCAGAGCACACTGTAAGGGATCAAGTGCAGGCCTGTTTTGCCCCAGAATCTGAGCCCTTAACTGCCTGTCTCAGCTGCTCCTCCCCGCCGCCCCAGCAACCTCTGGGCCTGTGCGTCTGCGGTTTCTTCTGCTGGATATGCCTTTCTTCTTCCTATCTCAGGGTGACCTTCTAGAGCTCAGCCTGTTTATGGGACATAGAAGACCTGTGGGTCTGAGTGACTTGAGATGCTGGGGAGGGGGGCAGGTGATGGTGTTAGAGAGGCTGATCACGAGTGTGTTTGGGTTTTATTTATCCTTAGAGCAGTGGGAAGCAAGGTTTTAAACACAGGTGATATCGGATGTTGCTTTGAGAAGATCACTCGGTCTTGCTTGGCTGAGAATGGACTGAAGGGTAGCCAGTGTCTGTCTGTCTGTCCCATTCCCTGCGACTCTCTGTGGCTGCTGAAAACAAGGACGGGTCAGGCAAGACCTGTTGAGTGCCCTCAGAGCCTAATAGAAGCTCCAGCCAGTGGTTCTGCTGCCTGCTTTTGTTTCTATAATCTCCACTTCCTGTTCTGAGGCTCTCGGAGTCTTGAATCCATTTCTAGTTACACTAGACTTGGAAAGAGTTATTCAAGGAACAGTAAGCTCAGCATGGTTTATGTAAGATCAAAGCTGTTGGTCTCAATGGCTGTATGTAGGGATATCTAATCTAGAAACTCAGAGTTTCAGAGCTTAGCTTAGTAACAATGAATAATGCAGTTCTAATGGTTACTCAAAATTATTTCATCAGTTTATCTCCTCAGTTCCCCCGATTCCAGGCCCGCCCCCCCAATTCCCTAGGGAAATTAAAGCTTTGACTTGGTCACGTCACTCTTCTGGCTGCAAAAGAGAACCAGGGTTTTGACAGCTCCTGATAAATACCATTGCAAGCTGGGATGTTCTGCTGTTTTATGCATTTATGGAAAATCGTTTTAACACTCTGGCTCCCACTGCAAAACAAAGCAAAACAAAAACAAAGCAAAACCTTGCTTTGCTTTGGAAATGCTGGTGGCATTTATTTAAAGGTCTATTTTGTGGGGATACAGTAGCAGGTATTTAGCAGTAATATTGGCAGTTGTGTGTTTCCTGCTTACTGTGTGGTAAACGATTCTCCGCCCCGGGGAAGCTCATGGAGGATTTGGGTGATTGCTGTGTGGAGGATCTACAGAAGCGTTATTAGCGGTATTGTATTTGTTTGTGAAAGGCCCAAAGAAGATTGTCCTAAGTTTTTACTATACAAAAGGAATAACGCAAGTGGGAAATACTAATTTTAGGTCTGTACAAAAAGAAGCTGGTTAAAGGCTCAGTGACTTATTCTCCTGTTGTTAATTGCATAGTCCTTGGAATGTCTTCTGTGCTGTTCTCACTTTGCATTTCACTCTGATTTGAAAGAGGTGGGCACCTGGGGCACAGGGGGCTGCCACGGACAAAGCAAGTTGAAGGAATCAGGATGTAATTGGGGGTCTGGTGCATTTTGTGTTGCTTGTACCACGGCTGCCTTTAGTTTTCAGGTGAATAATTTTATTTCTTTTAATTCTTTTATATATTTTAATTCTTTTAAAGAGCCCAAGTGGTTCTACCAACCGATAAATGGAAGAGTGTTCATTGTTAGCAAACTAAAAAGTAAGGAAAAATAGAAATGATGGGAAGAAAATCTGTCCCTTGACTAATGTTAATATCTTGTGTATTTCCTTTTATGCCTTTTACCTTTTATATAACAACATATTAAAAAAAAGGAGGGCCCCCCCTTACTCCTGAGGCCCCAAGACTTAGGTTAAAGATCCTTTTTTTTTCCTACAGAATGTCTCCCTATATCCCTTCTTGATTCTGAGTATGTTCTACCACGGTGCAAGTGGTAGAATCGTGGCGTTTGGCCCTGTGGTCGAGAGCCAGGGCCCCAGAGTCAGCCCTTCGGTGGCGGTATGACCTTGAACTAGCTGCTGCTACTCTGTGACACCGTTGCCCTCCGTAAGGCGGGAATGCTAACACCTGCCTCACGAAGCCAGCGTCACGAAGATGCGAGGAGCACTCGGAAGGGCTGTCCCTGGCAAAGATGAAGCGGTGACTGAGGGCTCGTTGTGCCGCTGCAGTGGGATCTGTCACTGTCGCCATTGCCCCAAGGCTCTGGCTCTGTGTTCCCGGTTTTCAGAACCAAGGCCCCGAGGAACAGAAGTGGTCAGTTACTCCACCTGTGCCGTTAGCCGGGTGATTCTTTTTTTTTTTTTTTAAGATTTTATTTATTTATTTGAGAGAGAGAGAATGAGAGAGAACACATGAGAGGGGGGAGGGTCAGAGGGAGAAGCAGACTCCCTGCCGAGCAGGGAGCCCGATGCGGGACTCGATCCAGGGACTCCAGGATCATGACCTGAGCCGAAGGCAGTTGCTTAACCAACTGAGCCACCCAGGCGCCCTAGCCAGGTGATTCTTGGCAGGCACAACTCAGATGAGGAAGAAAGCCTTGGCTAGAAAAGTGTCCGTGAAGGATAGAAACCAAAGGCCCAAAATGACCTGATAGGGCCCTGTCCTGACCATAGACTGCGGACGGTTGATTCTGTAGTGTTCACATCAACCCAGTCACAGATATGTTCGACTTAGAGGCGGCTTTGCGCAGTTCATAGGTAAGCACTGTTGTGTCTCCGGCCCAACAACCTCCTGGTGCCTTGCTGACGAGTGGCAGGCCTGGAGAAGGTGGGACGCATGCTGGGGGGTGGCGCGCGGGTCTGCCCTCTGAGCCTGACTGTTTGGTGCTTGTGTGTTCCAGGTGGCGGAGATGCACGGCGAGCTGATTGAGTTCAACGAGCGCCTGCACAGGGCCCTGGTGGCCAAGGAGGCCCTCGTGTCCCAGATGAGGCAGGAGCTCATTGACCTGCGGGGACCGGTGAGTGCTCCCCCCTTGGGAAGGTCCCAGCCTCACTCTTCTGCCTGCTTCATCTGTCTTCCCAGCCTCTGCTGCCCACAACCACGCTGCTGAGTTTGTTCATCGTTGGCAGTGCCAAGGGTATAGAAAAGTACGGAGACCGAAAGAGTGAGCTGTCACGTACCCACTGTCCGGATTTCATGTACATTAACCTTGCCTACACTTTGCTTCAGGTGGGAAGGGGTAGAATAAACACGGTGATACCGATTCTATTTGAAGCCTCCCCCTGGCAGCATTTCATGCCCCCGCACCCCATAGTGAGTATCCTGAAATCAGCGTATAGCCTTCCCCTTCCTGTGTTTATGCTTCACTACATAAATTTCCATGAGCAACGGTCTTGGTTTTGTGTAACCTTTACTTAGATGATGCTACCTGTATATATCTCCTTGGCCCTTGTTTTTGTTTGTTTTTAAGTCAGTATTGTGGTTTGGGGAGTATCTCACACAGTTCTAGTAGAGGATTTTCAAGCTGTGGCTCTCTTGATACTTTGGCCCCCTTAGGGTAGTCCCCCCATATCTGCGGTTCCACTTTGCCATGGTCTGGAAGCAGATGACCGTCCTTCTGGCGAGTTGCTAGGAGGTCATTTGTAGTCGAATGCCACATGACAACGCCTCCGTCACTCACCTCCTTCATCTCCTCATGTGGGCGTTGTGTCCTTTCACATTGTCACAAGAAAGAAGGGGGAATAAAGGACAATAAGATATTTTGAGAGAGAGGATGCATTCACATCTTTCATTACAGTATATTGTTAAAATTATTCTATTTGCTGTTGTTGCTAATCTCTTAGGTGCCGAATCTATAAATTAAACTTTGTCATAGGCATCACATAAAGGAAAAAGCAGAGTATATGTAGGGTTCAGGACTGTCCCGAGCTTCCAGCATCCACTGAGTCTTGGAATGTATCCCCCACAGTTAAGGGGGAAGATTGTGATTACTTGTTGTGGGGGCTGTCCTGTGCTTTGTGTAGGATGTTTAGCAGCACCCCTGATTTCTACCCACTAGAGGCCAGTAGCACCCCACCCAGTCATGACATCCAAGAATGCCTCCAGACATTGCCAGACATTCCCTGGCCAAACCACCATGGTTGGGCGGGGGGCCTGGTCTGGTTCATTCACTTCCTTGACTCTCGAGTTCTCTCTTGAGCGAAGTACCATGATAATTTTAATCCAATTGCATTTTACTGGACAGTTAGGTTGTTTGCATTATTTTGCTATTGCAAACCACGATGCCGAGAGCATTTTGTCCTCTTGTACATGTTCACAATAGCTTCTTCATTTCAAAGGTTTATTGTGTCCAATGTTAGATGTCCATAGTTAGGCAAATTCATCAATAGAACTGTCCTCAGTGGTGGTCAGTCTTGTTTGAAGTTACCCGCACCTGCTTCTCCTTATGTATTATTTTGATTCAGATACTAGGTCTTACTTCATTTATAGACCACTCTGTATAGATCCTAAAATCTTTAAAAAAAAAATAAAATAGGAAACCATAAATATGATATCATCATCATCCCTCCATTACCCTTTGTTCTTTTATACCATCAAATGTGTTCAGATTTCTCACTGTTCCATAATTTTTTAGAGTTTTTTAAAAAATTAGGATCCACGTGAGGTCCATGTGTCGTCATTGGTTATGTCTCTTGTGTTTCTTTTTTCATTTTAACACAGTTGTTTTGACTTGAGTAAAATAGAAGCTGAAATGTACCATCTTATGTGGTGGGGTGGCCTTAGGTGGAACCCTCACCTCCCTCCGTCTCCTGAAGCTTGTCCTTTTCCCCAGCCAGATCTCTGCGCCATGGAACCCTGGCGCCCCATTCCTCCCTCCTCCAGCCCCTGCCCACCACTGTTTTCCTCCCTTTGTCCGTGAATCGAAGCACTCGCTGATGTTTCTGTCCATCCGTCGCGTCCTCCTTCTCTTTCTTTTCCTTACCATGTGTTTGTGGAAGACCCTGGGTTGTGTCACCACCTGAACCTGGCTTATGGCACCTCTGCAGCATTCTTCTCAGGCCCCTCTTTTGCTTGTATTTTCTTGAATTGGCACTTGGGTCTGGGGGTTGGGATGGAGGTTTAATTTTCCTGCGAACATCGCTGTCGCTGGGGCGGTGTTTTCCATCCGGAAGCACACCAGGTCTGCCTGTCTCTCTTTCCGATCCTAGCAGTCCTGTATTAGCACTTCCTGCATCCACTACACAAGCGTTTCCTTGAGATCTGTGCCCGAGGGCGAACTTGCCAAATTGTGTGGTTTGGTATTTTAAACATTACTGAGTTTTACTTTTTTTTTTTTATACCTGTTTATGATCTCTCAGTCAGTGCGCAGGAGTTCCTGCCAACACTTCTGGGCACCAGGCGGGTTTTAACTTGTGTTTTTATGATCGCAAGCGAAGCGGACCATCTTGCCATTTGCCAGCTTGTTATTTCGGTTTCCACTTCTGTGATGACTTGCAGCCTGTGCCAGTTTCCTGTTGGATTGCATGTGTTTTCTTGCTGATTTCTAGTGGTTCTTTACCTGTCTTTTCAATTATGCATGTTGTCAATATTCCAGCCTATGGCTTACTTACAAGCTTTTTAATAAAAGTGGAAAAATTTAAGCCTGTGGCAAAGGAACAGTCATTTAATGAAACCCCATCACTCACCTTTGCAGTAATCTCCTCAGGGTCGTTCTTGACTTATTCTTACTCAGTTCAGTCCCTTCCCAACTCAGATTATTTGGACACATATCCAAGTCATGATATTATTTCAGGCACAAATATTTCAGTATTTATCACTAAAAGATATTTATAGTACCATCATCATCCCTAAAAAATTAATGATAATTCCTTAGTATCCTCAAATGTCCAATCAGTATTGAATGTTCTCCAGTTATCTCAAAAAATTTTTTTTATTTGCTCTAATCAGGGTCTTAGTGCAGTGCAAACAGTGCAGTTGGGTGATAGGTCTTTTTAGCATCTCAATTTGTACATTACCCTCCATATCTAACCCCCCCTTTTTGTTACTATTGAAAAACCTGGCCTTTTGAACGGTCTCCTATTTAGGATTTTGTTGATAGCAACCCCATGGTAATCCTTACCATGTTCCTCTGTTCCTTGCCTTTCCTTTGAATTGGTCATCAGCTGTAGAGTGTAGATGAGTTTCAGGTTTGATTTTTTTTTTTTTTTTTGGATACCTTGCCCTCACAGGTGGTGGTGTGTACTTCCTTTATATGATGTCAGCATGTGAATGTTACCTCCTGTGCTTAAAGACCTACAGTGCAGTCCCCAATTGAGTTGGTTTCCCTCACTCCTTACGTGTTCAAGATGTGTACAAGATCTTTGTGGATTTCATTCATTACTGAGATACAGGTTTTCCTACAAGGGAAACACAGTAGGTACCTGTTGTGCACTAAGAACCCTCGGTGGGAGGTGATTTCATCTTTGTTTTATAGCTTGACTGAGGCTCAGAGAGGTCCTGAATCTTTCAATGAGTGTGTCATGGAGTTGGATTCAAACTCCGCTTTAATCCACAAAGTCTGTTTTCTTTCTCAAGCTCCACCAACTCTGGGGATTTGGGGAGAGCAGGTATGGGTGGGTTCCCTTGTGTTACCCATTGCCCTTCCAGGCAAGGTCCCAAGGGTCCCTCTTTGTGTCCTTCCCGGCTGTGTCCCATGTTAAAGACTTAGGCAATATGGCTCGTATCCCTGCATCCTGGCATACTCCAAGGCCGCCTTACTGGAGGGGGACTTGATAGCAGGTGAGGACCAAGGAGTGGTCCCGTCCCTTAGGAGAGGTTCAGTGTGGATCCTGGAGAAGTGCCTGTGTGTCCTCTATGCTGAAGACAAGATCAGTGACTCCTTTCAGTGCAGGTGCATCTTCAGGGAGCACCTTCAGTGCATTATTCTCCTTGTGGATGATGGAAACGATGAACCAGCTGCTGTAAGTCAACAACTTCGATTTTAATAGGTTGCATGTATTGATGTCTGCCCCAAATTTAAACACTTTCAAAGTTTTAGTACTCCATTTAATCCTCTGAGACCCTAGCAGTAATTACTATTATGATATCATTTTGCATAAGAGAAAACTGAGGCTCGGGTATGGACTAACTCAGCCAAGGTCCTACAGTGAGAAGTGACAGATCTGTGTGCCTTGAAAGACTGGAGTTTTCTTTAAACAATTGGAACTTGTAAAATTTTGGACTCTTGACAAATCTTGTTAGACCCACGCTAGAAAGGCAAGTAGTCTAAAAGAGCATGCAGTGAAAAGTGAGTGAATCACCCTCCTATCGCGGGCCCCTAGCCTTCCTCCCTGGAGTCAGTAATGACCCCCCCAGTGTTGGGTTTGTCTTTCCAGAAATGGATGCCCGAGTAAATTGCATGCATACTCCCACATGTTTTAGTAACTGGTTGCCTATTCTATTCACTGTTCACAATATGACTTTCCCCCCACTTAACAATGTAGTTAAGAGATCTTTTTATTGTATTTTACATACAGATATACCTCATTCTTTTTAAGAGCTACATTGTGTTCCTTTGAACTGGCAATACCGTAATTTATTTAACCAGACCCCTACTGATGGATATTGAGTTTCTCATTTTTATTTTTAGGACAACGGGTAGCATAACACTCTTGTGAAACCCTACATTTGGATTAGAAGATTGTTTGGCAGTCCGTGGGACTCAGCTTGGCTGGGTGAAGCCCCAGAGATCGTGCCTTAAAGGATTTCCAGGGCACTGGGGAGGACCATCACCACCTTCCATTCTCCTCCACGTGTTGGAGGAAACCCTTCTGGGGGGCCAGCATCCATCACCAGCTCATGATTTATCAAGTTCTTGACAATGTGTTAGGCACCCACTGGGTCTTCACGTTGATTCTCTCAGTTAATTTTGAAGAGAAGCCTGTGAATCAAGCGAGGGTGTTATCCTTTTTTATAAATATGGCAACTGGGGGATGCCTGGGTGGCTCAGTTGGTTAAGCATCTGCCTTCAGCTCAGGT